TAAAGGCGATCCAAATAGGGAAAGAAGAAATAAAACTCTCCCTCTTTGCAGACGACATGATTTGTATTTGAAGAATCCCATAGACTCCACTCCCAAATTACTCAAGCTGATTCAAAACTTTGCCAAAATAGCAGGGTATAAAATTAACCCCCCAAAATCAATGGCCTTTCTGTATGCCAACAATGAGAAAAGTGTGGCTGAAATTAGGAAAGCAACTCCATTTGTAATAGCCCCACAAAAAATAAAATACCTAGGAATTAACTTAACCAAGAAGTGAAGGACCTCTATGATGAAAACTTTAAAATCTTCAAAAAGGAAATCAACACAGAACTTAAAAAATGGCAAAACCTCCCATGCTCCTGGATTGGAAAGATTAACATCGTGAAAATGGCAATACTTCCCAAGGCTATCTACAAATTTAATGCAATACCTATCAAAATTCCAACCTTATTCTTCAAGGAAATGGAAGAGGCAATCCAAAAATTCATATGGAACAATAAAAGACCCTGAATAGCAAAAACGCTCCTTAATGGAAAGAACACTGCTGAAGGAATATCAATACCAAATTTCAAACTCTACTATAAAGCCATCGTAATCAAAACAGCTTGGTATTGGCATAAGAACAGACCTCAGGACCAATGGAATAGAATTGAAACCCCAGAAATGAACCTACAGACCTATAGCCATCTAATCTTCGATAAGGGAGCTAAAACAATAGAATGGAAGAAAGACAGCCTCTTCAGTAAATGGTGCTGGCAAAATTGGTTAACTACATGTAGAAAACTAAAGCTAGATCCTTATATATCACCCTGCACCAGAATCAACTCCAAATGGATCAAAGACCTGGAAGTCAAAGCAGACACTCTGAAAACATTACGGGATGGAATAGGAGAAACCCTAGGTCTCCTGGGCTCAGGCTGAAATTTTTTGAATAGAGACCCGGAAACACAACAAATCAAAGAAAGGTTGGACAAATGGGATCGCATAAAGTTGCAGAGCTTCTGCAGAGCAAAGTCATAGCTAGCAAGATCAATAGAAAGCCCACGGATTGGAAAAAAATCTTTACTAGTCATACAATGGACAAGGGACTCATATCTAAAATATACTTGGAACCCAAAAATTAAACCCCCCAACAACAAATCCTCAAAGAAACAACTGCCTAAAACATAAGTGGGCTAAAGACTTAAAGATAAACTTCTCTGAAGAAGAAAGAAGTATGGCCAATAGACACATGAAGAAATGCTCAACCTCCCTAGCGATAAAAGAAATGCAAATCAAAACAACATTGAGATACCACCTCACTCCAGTTAGAATGGCAAAAATCAAGAACTCTAACAACAACAGATGCTGGAGGGGATGTGGACAGAAGGGAATCTTACTTCATTGTTGGTGGGAATGTAAACTTGTTCAGCCACTTTGGAAAGCAGTATGGAGGTTCCTCAAAAGACTCCATATAGAACTCCCCTATGATCAAGCAGTCCCACACTTTTGGGCATTTACCCAAATGTTTACAAACAAGACCACACTAAAGCTACCAACACAACTATGTTTATTGCATCATTATTCACCATAGCTAAGATATGGAACCAACCCAGATGCCCCTCAGTATATGAATGGATCAAGAAAATGTGGTATATATATACAATGGAATTCTATGCCTCCATCAGAAAGAATGACATTGCCCCATTTGTTAGGAAATGGAAAGACTTGGAAAAAATTATACTAAGCAAAGTAAGCCAGGCCCAAAGAAACATAGGCCCCTTGGTTTCCCTTATTTGCAAAATCTAGTATATGTATGAGTCAAGCGGAAAAGGTCAGATAATGTGATGTTAGGAAAATGAATCCTTAGATATGTATTTTAATGTTTTTTTTTCTTTCATGCATGGTTTCTAACACATTTATAAGATTATTTCTTTGTTGCTTTGTATGTCCCTCCCCCACAGTATAACCCCTGCTTTCACTATATTTGATGTCAGTATAACTTGTGGAGGAGATGGGGAAAAACAAGTCGTTTAAGGATACAGGTGGACCTGTTGCAACAATGAGAAGTACAAGTTGTCATGTCCACAACGAGCTTTACAATGTCTGGGGGGGGGGGAAGAAGGATTGGGACTGCTGGGGGAGGGGGGTGGCTGGGAAGGGATGTGAAGGATAAAAAAGGAGGAGGCTGCAATGCTTGGTAAGAAATGTACGCATTATCCTGCCCATGTAATTGCAACCCCTCTGTACAGTATGTTCACAAATAAAATAAAATAAAAAATAAAAAAAAACAATGTGTCACTTAAGGCCATGAGCATCCACTACTTTCCTTGTCCTTGCAATTTCATCACATACCATGATGGTTGTTCTGCTCATTCATATTGCTTTGGCTTCAGTAAAGTGAAGTTTTACTGGCTTGTGTTCACTTAACAATGTCATTTGTCTTTCCTAGAAGAAGCAATTTAGCAACTGAGGAAATGCTACCAGGTCATGAGCAAGCTGTTGGATGAACTGCAGGGTCCTTAGGAGCAGGGTGGCACCACAAGTACTCTCTGTATCATTTTTGCAGTGGGCACAGAGCATACTTTGCTCTGCTTCTGCTCTTACAGGCAGAAGGTACCCACTGATGCTCAAGCTTTGCACTCCCAAATGCTCTGCTGACTCCTGACGGGTGCACAGGAACTTCATCATCAAATACTGGGGGATTAAAAAAACGAGATCTCAAGAGGACTCAGAATCACTAAATATAATGTCGGGGTGAAGGAGACTTTCTGGGAAGGTCTTCCTATGTTTGTAACTTAATAGGTATAACCATGCCCAAAATTGGAGTACAAAATAATTTCAGTATATATAACAAACAGGAAGAAAGATAATACACTGAATGAAGTCAGGTTTTAGTAAAGATCCTAATAAGAAAAATGCCTCTTTTGAAAGCAAAACACAAGTTAAGAATAAAAAATATGAAAGAGTAAAAAAGACTTCTTCAGTATAGTAATTTTGAAACAAAAAACTGATATATAATGAAAATGACCAATGCCCTAAAGAATCACCTCAAAGTCCCCAACTGGCATATGTAACCCATGTGCTGGGACTTGAGGATGCACTCTTGTTTACACAAAGCAAAGGTCATTCCCAAAGCTCAAGTTTATTTTTTAATTAATTAACTTATTTTATTTATTTATTATTGTTTATTTTGGCAGTACTGGGTTTGAACTGATGCCTTATGTTTTCTGCCCTTTGAAAACACCCCAACCAGCACAAAAATAGAGGGACATGGAGTAAACAAATGCAGCAGTGGTACTCAGTAGAAACCATATTGAAAATGAACTATACGTACAACTTTTGGGTGGGTACAGAAGGGAAAATCTAAGAGAGAACAAAGGACTGTCTAAGAAGAAATGTACTCATTACCCATCTTATGAAATAGTAAACCCCCCTGCACATCACTTTTATAATAACAACAAAAATGTTTGTAAAGTTTTAGATTTAGGTTTCATATACAGGTCATAATCCAATTTGAGCAATGAGTTATGAAATATATAAGGTCTGGGTCTAGATTTTCTTTTTTTAATCTTTTGCATATGATTGTCCAGTTGCTCCAGCACATTTATTGAATACTGTCTCTTTTTTTCCAATAAATTATCTTTGCTCTTTTCTCAAGAAAGAAAGAAAACACCTCAATCTATTTGCTTCTATTTTTCATATTTTATAGTCTTATTTTTTGCCCAAGTTAGCCAATACCACAATCCACTTATTTACATATCCCACACAGCTAGGATGACAGGTATGCACTATGGTTCCCAGCTTTTTTAAATTTACTTTTATTGACAAGGTGATATACAGAGGGATTGAAGATATATATATATATATATATATATATATATATATATATATATGTAATCAGTACATATCTTGTTGAACATTTTTTTTCTCCCACTTTCCCTCATCCCCCACAATTCCCCAGCCCAAGTCATAAAGTTTATTTCAACATACTGTCTTAAAAAATATATACATATAATAAAGATACTGTACAGAGGGGTTACAGTTACATGAGTACAATTACAGGTAATGAGTACAATTCCTATTGAATTGTTATTCTCTCCATTGTTTTCGCCCTACCATTCCCCCACTCCTTTATGGAGTTGTAAAGTTCATCTTGTACATTTCATTGTTACAATGGGTCAACCTGTACCCCTATTTAAGCATTTTGTTTTTTCCCTTCCCCTTCCCAAATTAGAAAAATGTATATACAGGGTGCTTTTTATTGGTCAAGATGAGAGCTTGTCAACTTTATTTTGCCTAGGCTGATCTTCATCTGTGATCCTTCCAATCTCAGCCTTCCCAAGTATCTAAGACTATAGGCATGAGCCACTGTGACTAGTTAAAAGCCCATTATTTGTGCAAATTGCTTTATATAAAAGTTCTTTCTTTAACAGCTTTTCCAAATCTAGTATTCAACTGCATAAAAAGCCTCGAAGATAGTTCGTAATTCTCTTATTATTTAATCTCAGACTCAGATTTATACTTGAAATTAAGAAAAAATTAAGTGGCCAGATAGCTCTTTGACAGTTTCTTTCACTGCCAGGCAAACACATCTCTTGCACATATGCCTGTGTACTTGCTTCTCAGCCTAAGATGAACTTCTTCACACATCTCCACCAAGTCAAGGATGATGGCTTAACTTCTGGCCCTTTACTTCACACCATCTTTCCTAGTGCATTCAAGGCTGTTTTGAATCTTCTTCCTGTGGGTTCCAACTGCCCCTGTATATTCCTTTATCACAGCCATATTATATCTGTCTCTCCTACTAGACTAGGGACTCCTTGAGAATTGTTCCACCTCTGGGGTTCCGTTTTGGCTTAGGGATGGCCTAAAATTAGCACAGAGTGTACGGAATAAGAAGAGGGTAGGAGTAGAACATGCGAGTGTTGTGCTCACTAATGCTTACTTTGGCAATTCGGCACTGCTGCAGTTTGACATCTGTTTCATCCCTCTCTTCTTCTAGCTCAACCCAGCCAATAGGAACACCTTCTCCAAGGTCTTCAGATGAACAGCCTGCCCCGTGTACACAATAACAATCAAAACAATTTCCTGTTCCTAAGCTTCTCCAGAATCCAGCAAGTGAAGCCACATTCATATAGGAGTTACCTCCTATACAAAGCTTGTCAATTAAAAGTGGGACTAGGAATAGCACCCACTCCCCAATGGGAACACATGAGGTAGTGGTGATAGAGGTCCTCCCAATTTGTAGCAACCTCATCTGTAAAATGAAAGTTAAGAAGAAAGTTTGCTTCTCTATACAGTGGCTTATCTGAAGAACCAGACTTAATGAGACTCTCATGAGAGAGGCAAAATGACCACTGTATCTCAAAAGAGCTATGGAAAGGGAGGCCCAGCTTCTCTGGCTCATTTTCCACACATCTGTCTGACTAATGTCTGACCAGTGTGGGGTCTTGGCACTCACAAACATCTGAAAGCAAAAGTCTGGAGCTTTCAGACCCTGGAATTCCAATAAAGCAAATCTCACTCTTCATAGGCCTTCATATTCTTTTTAGTTCTTAAGAAGTCCTTCTAAGCCAGGCACTGGTGGCTAGCACCTGTAATCCTAGGAGGCTGTGATTTGAGGACCGAAATTCAAAGCCAGTCCAAGCAGGAAAGTCCATGAGATTCCTACCTCCAATTAACCACCGAAAAGCTGGAAAGAGAGCTGTAGCTCAAGTAGTAGGTTAGTAACCTTGAGCAAAAGCAGCTCAGGGACAGTGCCCAGACGTTGAGTTGATTGAGTTCAAGATCTAAGACCAGCCCTCCTTCCCCGAAAAAAAGAAAAAAAAAGTCCTTCTAGGACAGTTTTCTACAATGGTAGGCCACTTTTTTTTATCAGTCATGGGGCTTAAACTCTGGGCCTGAACATTGTCCTTCAGATCTTCAGCTCAATGTTAGCACTCTACTACTTGAGCCACTGAGCCACTTCCCATTTTCTGAGTGGTTTATTGGAGATAAGAATCTCATGGACTTTCATGACTGGGCTAGCTTTGAACTGTGATCCTCAGATCTCAGCTTCCTAAGTAGCTGAGATTACAGGTGTGAGTCACTGATGCCTGGCTGGGGCCACTTCTTTTTTAAAAAGTAGGTAGGTTGGAGCTGGGAAGGTGCCTCAGTGGTAGAGTGCTTGCCTTGCATGCATGAGGCCCTGAGTTCGATTCCTCACCACCACATAAGAAGAAAAAGCTAGAAGTGGTACTGTGACTCAAGTGGGAGAGCTCTAGCCTTGAGCTGAAGAGCTCAGGGATAACATCCAGGCCCAGAGTTCAGGCCCCACGACTGACAGAAAAAAAAGGATGTAGGTAAGTTCTGTTTCCTTTCAGGGACTAAATAACTAAAGAGCCACATTCGGTAGTCCTCAAGTTTAATTTTAAAAAACTTAGTACTTAGTTTGTGACTTAGCCACCCAGTGAGCAGTACTGAGTAGCTTGTATGGGTAAGACAAACAACCCAGGTGAATGTGGCTCAGTGGTAGAGTGCTAGACTTGAGCAAAAAGAAGTTCAGGGACAGTGCCCAGGACCTAAGTTAAAGCCCCAGGACTGGCAAAAACAAACAAACAAAAACAAAAACAAAACCAACAAAATAAAAAACCCAGGCAACCACAGAAAGGAGGGGAGAAAAAAATCCAAAGAATGTTTTATTAACAAAGAGGAAAATACATTCTCTCATTTCATAATACAGTTGACTCCATTGGAATAGGTAGACTCTGCTTAACCCAAAACTGTAAGTCTCATCTGCAATGCAAATTTAAGAGATTTTTCAGTGTATTTTTAAAGGACTGCAATACAGCTCAGTAGTAGGGTGCTTACCTAGGAAATGCAAGGCCCTGGTTCAACCTGCAGCTATGTAGTTCAGGCTGATCTCAAACTCTCAATTCTCCTGTGCCTCTACCTCCCAAGTGTTGGGATTATAGTATCTGCCATCATGCACAGCAACAAGCTTACACACTGAGGATCCTCAAGGAAACCTCTACCATACAAAGAGCTGGAAAGATCTAAGAGAAGTGAGAAGCAACCTCATTGACTAATCTATACTGTATAGTAGGCCGGATACAAACAGAGTTGAATAATAAACCTCTTAAAATGCACAGCCAGTACACAGCTAGCCCTGGACCATGGTGAACAGAGGAATACAACAAAAATGGGCAAGCAGATGCATGCACATTAACATGTGAATTTCTAAATGGAAGTAGTGGTATACAGGCCAAATAAACCAGGATTTACAAATAACTTAGGTTAGAACCAGCTAAAATCAATCATTAAGGGAAAAAAGCAAATAAGCCTATGTTTAGGTTGAAAAAACTAATCTTTATACATTGAAAAACATTGTGTGACAGGTTTAGAAAAATCCTGGCTGGGTAGTGGTGGCCCACACATGTAATCCTAGCTACTTAGTAGGCTGAGATATAAGGATCACAGTTTGAAGTCAGCCCATGCAGGAAAGTCTATACGACTCTTATCTCCAATATACCACCTAAAAACTAGAAGTGGAGCTGTGGCTCACAATGGTAAAGCACTAGCCTTGAACAGAAAAGCTCAGGCACAGTGCCCAGGCCCTGAGTTCAAGACCCATGAACAACAACAAAAAAACAAACAAACCCCAAAAAACAAAAAATCATCTTGGATAGACTGAAAGACACTGTGTGACAAAATCTTTTGAAGTCTTATGTTAGGCATATCTTTTGTTCCAATTCCTTCAAAGTACTGAAATTAAAACCACGATGTAAAAGTGAGATTTAGACTGCATTTTCTACTATTAAAGTGCTTTGATAGTGAGTTTGCAGCACCAGCATTCTACAGGGGCTGAATGATAATTTGTCAGGGATGCTGCTTAAAAAAATTCAAGGTAGGCACTGGTGGCTCACATTTATAATCCTAGCTACTCAGGAGGCTGAGATCTGATGATCACTGTCTGGGACAAGAAAATCCATGAGACTTGCCTAGCATACATGAAGCCCTGAGTCCCATTCCTCAGTACCACATAAAAAAAGGCCAGAAGTGGTGCTGTGGCATAAGCTGTAGAGTGCTAGCTTTGAGCAAAAGAAAAGAAGCTCAGGGACAGTGCCCAGGTCCTGAGTCCAAGCCCAGGATTGGCAAAAAAATATTCAAGTAGAGGTACTTATGCTAGATTGCTACTAGAGTGTGGCCCATTAATGGGCAGTATCAGAATCATCTGGGAACTAGTGAGAAATGAAGTCTTAGCCAGCATGGTGATTTGTTCACACCGGTAATCCTAGGACTTGGAGGATGAAGTAGCAGAGGTGTGAGTTTGAGGCCAACCTTGACTACTAGTGAGACCTAAGCTTCAAAAAAAAGTCTCAGAGCCTACCCAGAGCTCTGAACCAGTTCCTGCACTTTCAGAAAACCTCTTGGTAATATAAATGCACATTAAAGAGCAAACAGTACCATATTGGATGATATTCATGATTTCTATTAAATCAAACACTTGTCACTTGTAAAATGCAATACCACAAATGGAGTCTAGATCCTGCTCCATGAGTTTTGAAATTAAGTTAGCAGCAGTTGGGAAAGGGGTTAGGGAAGGGGCAATACCTTTTAAGGAATCACCAATGACATCTATGGCTATATCCAACAGACCTACTTGTTATCTTGCTGACTATGTCACACTGGAAAGCACAGCCATTCCCTGCTTCTTTTTCCTTGGCTTCTTGGGTATACAGCTCTGGCTTTTCCACTACTTCTCCGGATAAGTTTTTCTTTGTTGGTCCTTAAATCATGGTGTTGCAACACAATGACTTAAGTTATTATCTCTCCCCAGTCCATGCATTCTTATAGAATCTTTCTAGGTAACCCAGGCTGGCAAAGTGCTAGAATTACAGTTATGTACTACTATGCCTGACAATTTAAAGTACAACTTTAATTATGATGTCTATCTCTGAAGAATGTTTCTCCTCCAAGCTCCTGCTCCTGACTTATTTGTCCATCTGACACACCTAGACACCACAAAGGTCCCCTAGGATATTAAACTCAGCAGGACCATTACTGAGTTCATTAGCTACCATACAAACCTCCTTCTCCCCAAGCATTTTCTCTCCTGGAGAAAGGTGCTAAGTCTTCCATCTGCTCAAGCTAAACCCCCATATTAAGTACCTTCTCCCCTCTCCTGGTATCAGTCAGCCTCTAGGGCTTGCAGTTTCAACTTCTAGGAGCCACCTCACTCATATACTGTAACTCTGATTTCCTGAGCCTGTCAGCCTCCTATTATGCCCCTGCCTCAATACTTGCTCTCTTTCATCCATGCTGCCACACCACAAGCCACAGTAGTTCCTCAAAACTCTTCTACAACCTGCTCTACCCACCCTCCTGCTTGCTCTTTTCCCAATCATACTTTGTTTTAAGGATAAAGTCAAAGATCCAAAACAAACCATCACTGTCTTGGCCTTTCCCAGTTCTCCAACTCTGTCCCTTGCCACTCTTCCTCCACAATATATATCAGTCATATTTGGCAGCTACCTGCTCCTTTAGTGGGTCCTTATGCCTGATCTTCTCTTTGCTTAATCACTCTTCCTCTTCAAGCAGCTAGTTAACTATAACTCAACATTCACAATTTCCTTGATCAATTGAGGTTCTCTGCTCCCAGCACCCTCTTACATATCATTCCTTAGGTGACTGATTCTTAGGCTTGGTGGCTGCCTCCTGCACTACACAAAAAACTCTCTACAGTAGGGGCTGTGCCACCTTCCTCATTGTTGTATCTTGTTTAATCAGGCTGGTACATTATAGGTGATTCATAAATATTTTCAATAAAAGCAGAGGGAGCAGAGGTGGGGTAAAGTTCCCAGGGGAGGTAACATTGAAGACCTCAGGTTTCCCTGATACAAGCATACATCATTCCTCAACTATTATGAAGATGGTACCCGTGGTGAAAGGGTTTGAATAAGCTATGAATAAATTTTACTGTAGTCATCTTTGTACATATTACTCGAAGGTAATGGATGCTATGGGCACTGAACCAAGATAGTGACACCTGTTTTATAAAGACAAGAAAGCACAGCTAAATAATAAAAGAACAGACATTGGTGGAGGCCCCCAATGAAGGGAGCTGTCCCTGAGTTGTTTTGCTCAAGGCTAAAACTCTACTACTTGAGCCACAGCTCCACTTCCAGATTTTTGGTGGTTCATTAGAGATAAGAATCTCACAGACTTTCCTGATCAGCCTGGATTTGAGCTTCAATCCTCAGATCTCGACCTCCCAAATAGCTTGGATTATGGGTGTATACCACCAGTGTTCATTTAGACACATTCTTATTAAGCACACAGATTTTAGTTCTTACCTGTGTTTTACAAATTGCCTGAGCTCCTGAAGTTTCCATCTGTTGTATTTTTCAAAGCGTTTGAAGTGTTCTTCTGCATTAAATTTATCAGAAGATGAGTTATAAGCAAATACCAGCCCACACTGAGCACCAATACCACCACGTCGAACCTAGAAACCAACAGCAAGATGGAGAACATGAAAGGGGCAAAACTTCTGCTTCCAATTAATACAGTTAAACTGTAACCACATGATGCAAAACAAAACCAATGAAATAATTTTGAATATATATCAAGTCATAGAAAAACAAGAAGGCTACTTCCCAAGGAATTCAAAGAATTACAAAGATATCCATGTTTATATCCCTCACTTCTGTTAAAGACTTGACACAAAGTAATAACAAATACCTAATAAAAAATCAATGATGTGGACTTCTGATATGTAGCATATTACCCAAAAGTAGTAAAAAGAACATAGCAGAATTACCATAATTATTATCTGTGTAACTTGGAAAACAGACTCAGTTCCTGTAGAAAAAAGAGTACTTGCTCTGGTTTTTCCAGTCTCTGTAAGAAAACCTTAAAAAATAAAAATCAGGAGTTTAAAACTCTAAGATTTAACATCAACAAAAGCAAAGGATAACTAGCCTATTTGGAAGAAAAAATAGCATATTTATAGCATCACACAATTTTTTACCTTTTTGTACAGACACAACCACCTGAACAATATTTATAATAATGTTTATAAATAAATATGACCCTTAATT